GACAGGTAGACTTTAATGTGTTAAAAATAGTAAGAATTAGAGAGAAAAGATACCACCTTGCTTTTCTACCTAATGTACATACTTTTTTAGTTAATCAATTTTTTCTTAAAAATCCATGTCCTTCTCTAAAGCAAATAGTTTGTGCTTAGCCCAAAGATATCTCCTGTGAGCTCTCCAGTCATTAATTTTAGTTTTGCATCTGATTGTCAAGTGATCTATTTTGTTTTGTGGAACAACATGAGTGATTCCAGCCTAAAATGACTGGAACCCACTAGGTCTCAGCAGGTCCATACTGGGTACCTATGGGTATCAGTGCATCTGCTTTTATAGGTTTGGCTAATTTAAAATTTTTACTCAATAGCAAAATAAACAAACAAATAAATAAAAAATCAAACCAAAACCAAAACAAAAAAACTAACAACTCCTCCCCCAAAAAACCCACAAACAACAAAACTTCAAATAAACAAAACTACAAAAAACCTGAAGATTTCCTTGAAGTCTAAAACATATAAACCATGAAGAAGTCAATTAGCATTTCTCATCCTTAGGATATTATTGTAATAAGAAATGTATATGTATAATTTTCTTGAAATTGTTATATTCTCTTCAGAAAGGAAATTTCTGAGTTTTATAATTATAGAAGAATGTAAAACTTTTTTGTATTTTTTTTTTCCAAAAGAAACCAGAATGAACTGGTGTCCTTCAGCTCTCCCACTGCTTTAGAGTCCTAGCTGACTAAGGGCCCTTAAAACTGAAGGACCAGAGATGAAGAGTCTTGCAATTGGAAGCAGAAGTTTGTAACATGATAAGGGTTCAAATTTAGTTTATGGATCATATGGTTTTCTAGGTTGCCAGCTAAAGTGTGGAAAGTGTCAAAACCCTAGGATCCCTACTTTCAGCTCTGTCAAAGGGTTAAGGCTGAGTGTGGGCCCTGAGAGCCTTCAGTAGAACTGTGGCTCTAGCTCCCTGATGAGGAATATCAAAACCTTGGCAATCCTAACATTGATGTGACCTTGGTTATAAGTTTGTCTCAGAACAAAGAGCCTCCAGAGACAGCAGGTGAGCTAGCAGGAAAAAAAATAGACTCGAAAAAAGCCCTTTCCAACATTTTTGGCAGGAGTACTGGTTCATGAAAAATTATGCCATTTGTGGAAAAAAAAAAGAGCCATTAGTATATATCCAAGACTTTAATTTGTATTTCTAAATGACTGGTCTTAGCTGCAGAAGCACACAATATTGAGGATTTTGCTGATAGGATCACCTCTGCTCTTATTATGGTTGTGGTCACAAGCTGAGCAAGCATACAAGCAAAGCTTTATTCACCCTGAATTCTCAGCATTGATATACCCAAGACATGAAAATCTATCCTACAGGAATAAGCCTTAGTCTTAAGAGTATCAGAGGAGTACAGGTAGAGTGAATTAACTGTCTATCTGGAAAATGTGGAATAAAACATGATTGTAGGGTAGAATATATGAAATGAAAATGTGAATGCCTAACATGGTGTGTGGCTCCCTTTCCAAGCAGTGCCAGCTGCATTTCTACAGTGTTATATAATTTAGAGTTTTCTGTAAGAATATTTGTGGTGTGGAGGATTTAGTATTTTGAAATTTGGTTTTCTTTCAAGCAGGGGGTAAAATCCCAAAATGCTGAAGCAGTCAGTGAAGCAAGTCCCACCTGACTGACCCAGCTGAGCCTGGGAAGACTCAATTGTTTACCTTGGTCACCTGCAAGGCAGGCCAGCTGAGGGAAACAGTGTTATGGGAAAATGTTGTTTGAAGGCCTCAGTTTCCTAAATACACAGGTACCTTCCCTGCTTATCTTGTTTGGTTGCTGTGGGATGAGACTGTTGTTGCAAGACCGTGGTCGTACTTCAATTCCCATCTCACCCTCCCACAGCCTGTCCAGGCTGCTCCCAGAGACTCAGGAAACTTTTTTTAGATTTTGGCAGCTATGAGGCCCCACCAAGTATTTTGCTGGGTGGAGCAGGCAGGTGACCTGGAAGGAGTAATGGGGTGCTCCAGTGTTTGCCCTAAGGGAAGGAATCTCTTATGTTTCTATTTGGGTTCCCTTGGAACAGGAATCAGACTGGGTTTGTAGCACCTTTTATACAATCAAAAAATCATAAAATCATTTAGGTTGGTAAAGATCATCAAATCCAACCATTAACCCAGCACTGCCAGGTTCACCACCAAACCACGTCCCTAAGCACCATATCCACGTCTTTTAAATACCTCCAGGAACGGTGACTCCACCACTTCCCTCGGTAGTCTGTTCCAGTAGTTGACAAAGCTTTCCATGAAGAAATTTTTCCTAATATCCAATCTAAACATCCCCTGGTACAACTTGAGGCTGTTTCACACCTCCCTACAACCTGCTTTCAGGTAGTAACAGAGAACAATAGGGTCTCCCCTGAACCTTCATTTCTCCTGGCTAAACAACCCCAGCTCTCTCAGCTATTCCTCATAACACACGTGTTCCCAGACCCTTCACAAGCTCTGTTGCCCCTCTCTGGACTCATTCCAGCACCTCAATGTCTTTCTTATGAGGGCCCAGAACTGAACACAGTGTTCAAGATGAGGCCTCACCAGTGCCCAGTGCAGGGGGACAGTCCTTGCCCTCGTCCTGCTGGCCACACTATTGCTGATACAAGCCAGGATTCCTTTGGCCTTCTTGGCCAACTGGGCACACTGCTGGCTCACGTTCAGCCACTGTCAACCAGCTCCCCCAGGTCCTTCTATGTCGGACAGCTTCACAGATCTTCTTCCCTGTGCAATTTTGATATCAGAAAAACAATCACATTCTAAAACCAACAACAGCAAAAAACCCAAAATCATTGAGAGTTTTCATATAATCCCTGTGGGTTTTTTCTCCTTCTTTAATGACTATTTAGACAAAAGCAGCAAGAAAAAGTGGTAAATACAAATGCAGAAAACAGCAAGAAATTACAAATTCTGGTGAATTTCTGAGTTCATTAGTGTCCTTCAGGAACAACATCCAGAAAGCATTTTTAAATACTTCTGAAGAACTACAAGCAATTTTCTTGAAGTAGTGTTTCTCTGAAAAGAGTTTAGGCAGTGAGTGACACATGCTTACTTCACAGAACAGTTTCTGACTTTACGCAGCATCTGCTCACTTTGGCAACATGTTTTCCATTGTCAGCCTTTCACAACTAGCAGCTCTGGCTTCCTTTTTATGCCTGATCTGCTGTTCTCAGGCCATGGGTTGAAATTAAACATGTATATGTATTGCTTTGTGAATTAAGTGTATTTCAATCTGGCAAAACATGATTAGCTAGACGTGGAAGTGCACCTTGCCACGTTTCTTAGAGGTGTGAAGCATTTTCACAGAGCTTTCTTTTGCGTTCTGCAAAAGAACAGAACTTGGTCTACAAACACATAGAGTTGGGAAAGCATTCATGTGATGCCAAAACTCACTGTAAATTCTTATTCAACAGCTTGAATACTGCTTACAGAGTTGAAATATCCTTTACGCTAACACCACAGTTCTATAAGTAGCTTTCTATTAAGCTAGAATGACTTAACCCATTCCTGCCACTTCCATAGCCTATGTTCAAGCCCACTTTTGGGCTATCATTGTGATAAACTTGACTGAAGACTGCATACAGCTGGGAAAAATTTGCCCCAAACGTTAGGGGGAATACTGTGTGGTAGGGTATTTTTCAGCAAGACCTATGAAAACAGTTATACAGTTGTTTCTAAAGGAGGAAGGGGCAGGGACTGACGTGGCCCAAGACTCCTGATGTATTAAACTCCATATGAATTAGCAGTGAGAATTGGCCTCTAATACATGTAAAACCACTGCCATGTCAATGCCCTGTTTTCTAAGGCAAAAGTAGCAGTCTTAGTGGGAATAAAATCCTATTTACACAGGTCAAATAGCATTTATGTGTCCCTAGAGGAAGATTGATTGTCACCCCTGGAAGTGCTGGAGTGTTTGGCTGAACGGCACATCCCTGTGTTCCTGCTGCCTCCCGCCCCAGCAGCACCAGAAGCACACACGCCAGGGCCCCTTGGCTTCACAGCCCAGCCCAGAAGGGTATTTATTCTTCTGTAGGCTGCAAAAACAGGAAGTGACACTTCAAGTAATTGTAGATTTACTGTGAGCCCATGGCTGGTCCCTCTGCATTGTCCCTGCTTTCCTGTTTGAGCTTGGAGGAAGTGACCAGAGGGATGGGGGGAAGGGAAACCTCGCTGTGATGGTTCTCCAACAGCAACCTACATTGCTTAGGGGAAGAGTGACGAAAACATATTCAAACCTTTGCCAAAGGCTCTCAAGAAATATTTGACATCTAACCTATAACAACAAGTGGGAGTTAAAGGTTAAATCACACACAACCCAAGTGTTTGGGAAAAGGATATGTTTATGTCATCAACTTCTGTTGGGTTGTAAAGGAACAGTGCATGACAGTGGAAAGGGCTCCAGCTATCAGGAAATACATGGTGGCTTAGTGCAAGTATCTGTGAACATGAATGGTGCCAGTTGGTTCTATATATTCACGTTTTCATATCCAAATGCCTTTTTCAACTCAGACAGTTAAATGGGAAGAGCACAGCATGGACACCATTGGCTACTTTCTTTGCCTGTGTTCATGCAGACATGAATTATTCCTCAAGTACTCTAGTTTCCCCTGCAGTATCACTTCTTGTGGGGAACTGCCACTAGAGAATCAGACAATCAGCATTGCCCATTCCTCTCATGTAATTTATAGACCTAAAGAATCCAAACTAGCAATGTGTTTTCTAAGATAATATATTTCCCCAAATTAAATGATGGAAATACTATCTTTGTTGCTAGGTGCCAAAACACTGGAGAGGTTATTTCATTCTATATAATGCTAGTACTTTGGTGGTTGTATTTCAGGAAAAATCATTCTGCTGGTCATCGCTTTTTTGGTCTGTTGAAAAAGAAGCTGAATTTGGGAGGATCTGTTCCATGAACTCAAATAAGGTTTTTTTCTCATTTAATTTCTAGCACGCTGTAGGAATTTACCAGACAAAGACTGATGAACCTGAAGAAAGAAAATCAGTCTTATCCTGAGGTAATGAATATAATTTGTATGTTGTTACAGCTTTCTCTTGTTATATATTACCCCCTAATATATTATGTATATTGTTATATATTACCCCATTACCATTTGCCACCATTTCTGAGAACCCATTCAAAACTGCTAAAACTGGGTGAGACAGATCCCATTTGCTAGCTGGGATGTGTCTCACATAGCTTTAGCAGTTTAGAATGGGTACGCAGAAACAGTTGTTTCCTCTACCAACACTGTTGGTGGGAACTGTTGGAAGAAAAGTCACCTCACATGCCTTTTTAGATGGATAGATCACTGATAATAAAGGGAAGCTATATACAGGGTTCATACTAAACTTCTAATTTGAGATGGCTAATATTAATTAAGGAGAATCCTGCTGAAAAAAATAAATTTCCTATATTTTGCACAAATAAAATTAAAAATAACTTTGGGACACGAATTAAAGGCCAGTATTAATCCTCTGTGAATGTGCCCCATTCATTAAGAAAAAATTTAATAATGCATAATCATTCCCAGTACTCAGTATTATATGCCAACAAATTGTAGCATGAATATAAACATTGTGCTGGCAGGGCAAAAATGACTTTTGGAAATTTTCCTTTCAGAATAGGCGAAGCTGCAAATAGCACTTGAAGGGAAAAAAAAAAGGTAGAACAATATATCAAATTAGTGTTGCAGCATAGGTTTTCCTATTCATGTTGTGTCAGGCTAGAGGTTATCAATGTTTATGTAGTTGTGTGTATTAGACAATATGCCTTGAGATACAGACATTGTGCCAGTAGTCCTCATTTATAAAATGAAATAATCTGAAAGTTACTCTAGGACACTTGATTATCTTATTTTTAGTTAAGTCCTTCCTCGTTAGTGTTGTGTGTTCCTGTTAAAAATATTTTCTCTTAATGATTTTCTCTTTCCTACAGTTAAGCAGTTGAGATTTGAGTCTCAAAGGTTAGAGGCAGAGCCAGAGGTACCACTGAGCTTAAAGACCAGATCCAGATGTTGAAGAGAAGGAATTAAGATGGTCTTCATTGACCATCTTCTATACACCATTCTTTCCCTGCCTTATTATCTCTTTCCCCTTGTGCTCACTAGGTCAGCTCATCAGTTATCTGTTTGAGTACACAGGTGTCAGTGTCACTGTGGTGTCAATTCTCACCATGCACTGGTGACAACGGAGTCTTCTGCAAGAACAGAGGAGTTAGAGGATATCCACCTTTTCAGTGTATCACAAACTGACTCTTCAACGTCCTTCATTCCAGGCAATAGTGTTGTGGTTGTGCTTTTTACCCTTTTCTCTTTTCATTAACTCCTTATGCTCAGGAGATGGAAGTAGGGTGAGAGTCCATGGCAAAGGACACTGCTCTCAGCAGAGCTAAATCTTTGGAGGCAGGCACTTAGCGGCTGAGAGACGTTGGCTGACCTCAAACTGTTGCTGCATGGACCATCTCATTTCACTGGTTACTCTGATTTTTCCTCTTTGCTCTGAGAGTCTTTGATAAATATTTTACAGCGCCAAGAAAGGGACTGCAACACAATAAATCAGTTTTTCTTCTGGATTAGGAGGAATTTATATCAGGTTAAGAGAATAAGCATGAATTGAACTTCAGCTTTCAGAGGCAGCAATGCTTTGAGATAATCAGTGCTGTGAGATTAGAAAAGAGGTATCTCAGGGAACAGAGGTCGCCCCAAGCCTTTGCCTTTTCTTTGAAGAGTTCCAAAAATAATGGTCATGGGTCTGTGGTCCAGGAAAATGTGTGCCAGAGACCTCTATAGAATTGTGGTCCTGCCCACCAGCAACAGATCTGCTGAACATGATCAGTTGGTGTATTTTCAGTGGAAATATTATTTCTAGTTTAACAAAGTTCATAAGGAAGTGTCATAATTTTACTTTGTTGTTCAAGTGGAAGTACAATATTATTAAACAACTGATGATACCACCACATTGTCCTCAATTTTAATTTTATAATATATGGTTAAATGAAGCTTCAGTGTCATCCAAAATACCTATGGAGGGAATTATGTGACATAACCTCCATATTTTTTCCCAATGAGTTTCTTTTACAGACTCCTGTTATTTAAAAAGAGTTCTTCAAACTGTTGTAGAGCTGCCACTTGAAATTTTTTTCTTATATAGGAGAAAAAGTGGAGGTGCATGTCTCTGAGAATGCTATCACAGCCCGTTGCACAAATCTTACTCCTTGCAGTAATACATTTCAGCTAAAATTTGAAAAAATATTGCTATATTATTAATAATTTGCTTTCCCCAGAAGCAAACTGACATACAAAATGTTTCATTTTTTATCTTAGCCTTGTGGCCCAACCATGCAGTCACACCTTATCATTGTGGTATAAATTTAAAATGTCTTATGAGCGCTCTCAGCTTTGATGGGATACAGACATCAACTGGTCTGTCCCTTGAACTGTGACCTAAAACAACCAGGCTTTTTCCTTCCCCACGGGAATCATGTGATTGCACTCTCAGCAGATAATTTTTCACGGATTCTTTTATGCTATTTCCTACAGAGGAAAACCATCCTGTTATCTCGCTTTAAAAGATTACTAACGAGCATTTTTATGTTTTTTGGTTTTTTGGTTTTTTTTTAAACATATGTCTCCTTCCCTTTCGTTGCTTATCTAAACCCATATGCTTTAGAAGAAATAAGACAGGATCACAGATGTATTTTTTTTCCCACAGGACAGAAAATAAGCAGTGATATATATGATAATAAGAAAATTCACTATAATATAGAATGAAAAATAGCTAAACAGCAAATTTGTAATTTCCCACCAAAATAGAAATAACTCAGAGTTTAAAGTCATCACAGAAAATGTCTGTAGTGTCAGACTCTGAATTTCAACAAGATAAACATTTCAGGAAGGCTTTATGTCCTTTTGTTTGTGCAATCCCTCACAAGGACACAGCTAACATGCCTTCCTAGGCTGCTATCTTACATTTCTGCAGTGACATTTTCTTAAGAAAACAATTCAAGGAGGTTTTCAAGGGCTCGTGAGATACAGAAAATTCTCAGAAACAAAAGTATGATAAACTGAATACTGCACTCAGTTACTCTGGTTTGTAACTGAAGTAAACCAGAATTTCTGCTGCTGTGCTTGATAAAAGACTCACCGTCACTCACAGGTGCTGTACCATATGAAGCAGGCTGCCTTACTGTTGAAAAAAATCGGTGACAGTGTCAATTCCTAGTCTGTCTGAAAAAAATATGGATATTTTGTATGCAGAGACAGGGTCCATTCATCATACATAACATATACCTTTAAATGACATTGCATGATTTTTATAAACAAGCGCATCTTCCTTTTGTGGAAAAAAACCCAACCATACGAGTCAAATATTTCTGTAGTGAATGACAAAAGCCTCCAATAAATAAAAATTCTGATTTAAGCTAATTTGATGGTCTGACAACACGTATTCACTGCTCTTTCATTGCTTGTGAAAGTGATTATTAAATGAGTAGCAGCTGCCATACATAAGCAAATTCAAACCATTAATTCCTGTCTTAGCTTTCAGATCCTGAGAGTGGAAAAATCATGAAAGGAAGTGTTTCTTACAAGATTTTCCTTTGTGATATCCACAAAAGGCTGCTTTCTCCTGTTTTCCCCCTGTGGATTATGATTACTTATGTTTCCAGGCATCTGACTACAAATCCAAGATCCTAGGGCTCTTTTACAAGTCCTAAACTGAGTGACTTCATATACTTCCTGCATGCTTTTGCAATTCTTTTGCTATAGACATTCTAATTCCGCTCCAGGGAAAATTAAGATGTTTTTAAAAACTGGAGTAAACTTAACTCACCAAAACTCAGTGGTGTAATGATACAGGTGGGATGGGACAGTTTTGTCATTACAGGAAAGGAACATTTGATATGCAAATGTGCTTTTTTCAGCTACTAATGACCTGTCCTGAATGATCAGAAGAAGAACACTAGTAACTACTCCTTTAACTCAGGTAATATAGAGCTTTATTTTTACAAGTAAAAGTTCTGAATATGATATAAGGATGATACACTATCAGGGTATAAATTGATTAGTTATACACCAACTGTTGACTAAAATTCTCCTACATTTCTCAAGATGTGTGACAAGGAACTTTTCAAAACATAGGGGACTGGTGAAATTTCCTGTGTTTTCAAAACTAGGCCAAAAACAAAAAATATTTTTTTAAAATCGAAGTATAACTTTATTATTTTTTCTGAACTACAGAATCACTGTCTGTCAGAAGGATCTTCATTTGATACTTCTGTAGAATATGAAGAATTTTTCTCTTGATTAGTTCCAGCCAAAAATTCATAAGAGTTTTGATTTTCCAACAGAAATTTAGAAAGCAATAAATGGTTTAAAATCCTGTTTTCACAAGTTCAAGTAATTTTTCCATGTGCTACAGGCCTGGATGGATTGTGTCTTTCATGACATACGATGCTCTCACACACTCTGAGGTTACTGGAAAGTTTTCCATCCCTCCAATTTTACAACATCTTTCGAACAAACAAAATAAATTGAGCTTCCTCAATCTTTTATCGTAATTCCTTGAATCACTATTGCAGATCTCTCTGTAAATTTTCAAAGTCATTCCTTACTAAAAGAAACTGTTGATACCAGCTCTGGTAAGATTATTGCAGTGACAGGTTCTGCAATTTCTGTATGAAATTACTTCCTTACTCCCACCTTCAGGTTTCCTGCTGATGCATCTGTGGATTGCATTTAGCTTCTTGCACAGACAGCTGTGTTCAGATATACTTTTCAGTGTTGCTGCTTTCCAGGATACAACCTTCTACCCTAAGTGTATCTTGCAGCTATGCTTCTAGGTATCTGGCATAGCATTTAGCTGTGTTAAAGTGATGCTGCTGAAACAAATATATCTTAAGAAGTGACCCAGGCCAGCCTATATAACTGATCAGTTCACATCTCAGTTACCTCTCCAGAGAATTATCCTGATAAGTGCATGTATTGCTAGGAATTTATATATTTTCATCAATAAGAACTAATTTATATATTTTCATAAATAAGAACTAATACCCATTTCCCTTGCTCTAATACTTCTGGTATATCAGCCAGCCAGGTCTTTTATAAACCAAGATTTTTTGCATTCATTGTGTTACAACATTGCAATACTTTTCTGAAGGAACAGTCTTTCCATGATCTTGCCTGTGGTTGCTAGTAGACTCCCAATTTCAAAGTTTATAAAAATGCAATTTACAGACTGTTTAAGATACTTTCAATACATATTTTTGGAACAAAAATGATATAATTTTACTGAAAGATGAACTTATTCCGAATTCAAGCTCAATACAATACTCCAAGCTCAATACAAAAGCCTGATGTATATATTATTCTGTTGCTATCACAATTTAATTTGCTCAATAGTTTTACCATATTAATAACTATTGGCTAAATATTTTTTCTGTAGCAAGTTAAAATAATTCTCTCCTTTTCTCTTTAATTCTAATGGCTGTGAAGTTTCAGCAATTTCTTTAACTTCCTCTTTCCTTTATCTGTGTTTTTATCCGATATTATACTTTCTGGTGGCAGAGTATTTTCCACGCTCAAATACTGTTAAAAATATATTTGTTCCTCTTGATGTTATTTTATATAATTTGGCCACCTTTAGTAATGATTATCAGTTTTAAGCACCTAGGAAAGCCTCATTTTACAGATTTCCAATTGCCTTTAAAATTTTTTTTGGTATCACAAAGAAGGTTTGAAGGATCCCTGATCAGTATTTGTTCTGGTTGTTAAACCAAGTTATATGAATCTCAGGGTTTCTACTGATCATTCTATGCTGCAGGAAATATTTTTTTTCTTTCTTTATTCATTGTATATGAGCTGCAGAGAAAGGTAAATGGTGCCTTCCTATAAAGACTTGGTAAGTGACTACAAATACAGGAGGTATATGTGACAAGATGCAGTTAGTACTACAGACCTTATAGAATATATTCTCAAGTACTCAAAATTAATTTATCATCCAGGTGATAAGTTAAGAAAGAATTTCCATATATATCAGATTGGCACTGTATTTTTTTTGAAGCCTGTAACATACAGAGTAGGTGAAGCATGCTCAGCTAATTCAAGTCCTTGGTTGCTGTGATGCTGGAAAGATCATGCAGCAGCAGAGGTAATTCTTTCTACTTAAATATATCTTTCTGTTCAGTTTTTGTCTTCAGATTTGAGAGACTGGATCTTTTAAAGAACCTAGTATATATAAGTCATAACTATTCTGTATTCTATTTCCACATGGGGAAATTATCAGTATAATTACATCTACTTGATCTATTTTTACTTACACAGCACCTAAACCTCCTAAACTGACATTCTGTGGATGGACATATTTTTCTTGAATCTTTTAGAAAACAGGGGGATTGCTATTTCTATTTCCTGAGCCTATTCAATAATCTATTACATTGTCTTAGCACTATCCCATTTTGTGATTTATAATTTAAGACGTGAATTAGTATAAAATCAAGGTTCTGTCTTTCTGAATCGTTTGCAACTCTAGACCATGCAATATCCCCACTGTCTTTCTTAAATAGTCTTAATAGTAACCAATGAGTTTAATATCCAGTCATGTGAGTCATACCACTGCAGTTGAGTAATACCATCTAGCTTAAATTTCTTTTCTAAATTTGTATTTTCAATTCCCCTGATTCTCAGAGTGGTTATAGGAACAGATTATTTTTCTCATTCTGGTTCTTCAGTCCTTTTACATTTGTTCATATGTACTTGCAAGTTCTTCTGCATAAACTAGATGTTCTTTCTTTTGTACAAAGGTGGAAATAGCTCAAAAGCCACCCGTTCTACCTTCCTAGAAAAAGCATCTCTGGTATTGATGCTTTTCTGGAGTTGTTTCCCTGAAATAAGTATAGTTCTCCTAGTTTATGTTATAGCTAGAAATGATCCTGTTGCATGGATAACTCCATAAGAGTATTAAACACAGGTAGGGAAGCTACATATGTCTATGCCTAACCTCTGAGTGAGTATGTTTTCATTTATGGTGGGTAGTATTCACTTGGTACAAAGATGAACCTTCCCTCCTGGATATATGGTAAATAAAACTTCCAGTTTGTGCCTGGAGTGGATGAAGCAGAGACCTCTTGCAGAACGAAAGTTTTGTTATAGTAACGAGGAGACAAACATGTCTTAAAATAGCCAGACTGATGACTTGGCATCAATAATAGTCTTTTCCCACCCGAATTTCGGAGAAGTTAGGTTCAAATGCGTCCCTCTGGCCTGCTCAGTCATGTTTCAGGTCTCTTGCCTGTTAAGCGGATATTTTAAAATTTTTCTCCAAAAAAGAACTCAGAAATTACTAATTTTGAATAAACCAGAGTGTGAGAAGCTGACTTCGTCATAGGGAGCTGGTGGAGGGCACCAATTACTGCATTTTCTTTGATAGCCCAGTGAGCAAGTTTCATAAAGTAGTAAATTTTATAGATTTGCTTCATCAGAAAACCTAGTATGCTCCACACTCCTTACTGATGAATAAAAAGGCTGCTTTTTGCAGAATCACATCATTCCTTTATTGAGCAAAGAACATCACATATGGGATATGCTCTGTTCTGAGGAGGTTTAAGACTTTGGGGAAGAGGACTTAATCTCTTCCTGCTGGTAGGTGCAGTCATTCAAAGCTCTTGGGCTCTTGGGTTTCCTCCAAAAGTTCATTTCATAGGGGCTGGTGTTGAACTCAGAACTCTTTCTAGATGTGTTATGAATGTAGGTGTAAGCAATGCTACAAGAGAACTTAAAGTCTGCACTCAAACCTACTTATAAAGGGAATAATGTTTGAAATGATGCACAAAAATCACGTTTACATTAAAAATTAAGAGATACATGCAAAGACAAAACTCATACTACCCTGCAGCAGGGATTCTGAAGTTAGTGATGAACAGAGGGAAGAGATGCTCCTGTAGTGATATTGTGCAGGCTCTCTGCAGACCCAGGGAGGCAGAATACGTGTATATGCATGGTGGGGAAGACAATGACATGTGCTTTGTCTTTTCTGGAACACTATGCAGAAATTCTGAAGCACTGTAACTGAAGCAGCCAGTAGCAGCAAAACAAAAATGTCTTTCTGGTCAGCAGCACAGACCACATGGTTGGTGTCTTGTTCACTGCTCCTGCATAAATGGAAAGAGGAAGGAACTGGATGTGAAACACCTTGTGCATATAGCAGCATTTAAGGAAGATATTTATATAATACAGAAGTACAACACACTTCTCTGTTGCTGAATGGAAAGACATTTTCAGGAGGAAGCTCTTTGGAGCACGTATTAGCTGTGAGGGAGAAAAATGGAGCTGTAATGGATCATATAGACAGGATATTAGAGAAACCATGCTTAGAGCTAGTGCTGAGGATAAACGTCATTTCATTATGGGCCAGGGGTATGCCAGACATATGGATAGTTATCAAGAGAGCCAAAGCATTTGTAGATGTCCTTTCTGTTTTCTTGTCAATGGAGAGAGAGTTCATAGGACCCCCTAGTAAGAGAGTTCATCAGTGTTTTCTTGGTCTTGAAGGTTATTTTTGAACAGAGACATATTAAAGGTCATCACTTCTTTGTTCTGTGTTCATAAGTGATGTGGTTTTAAAAGCAGGCTTTTCTGCTTTGTTTCACAAAGTAATAGCATCCTTGTGATACAGATGTAGTTGCTATACATGAGCCCATTATTGTTTAACAAGGCCTCTTGCAGACGGAATGTATAATTTTTAGGAAAAAATTATTTTAGATTTACTCTTTAATTTAGTTGAATAATAGTTACATTTGACCAGAGCTTAATTAAAATGTGATAACTTCATAAATCCAACTGGACTGAGTTGTCCTTCCTATATGAATGTTATCATGAGCTTGGATGAAATTTCTATTCCTTTATTTCATGCCTTATAAAAAAAATTAAGCTAACTGCAGTTACAATAAATAGCATTCTTAAGTCAAGGATCAGGTTCTGGTTGCCTTA